ACAGTGCTTATTACCAATTCAATGGCTGTTTATTTATCCAACAATAAGATTGAAATTATGTTGAGATTAAGATATAATCAAAATGAGTTTACATACCTTGAAGATCCTCTAATGAATGGTGTCTGTAGCAAACAACAGATCTAAGATGCTGGTCAGTTAATTTGGAAATGAACAATTAATTCAATAAACAGAGAAGTGACAAAAAACATAAATAACAATTAAGTGTAATTTTAGTTCACCTTTTACATTTAAAATAACTGACCTTTTGTTTCCCAAGCAACTGTTTCTCATTTATTTTGACCGGGCTTTTTGATTTGTATCATTGCAAAAGGTGAATAATAATTAGTTGAGAATCTCACGACAATTTAAAGGTTATTTATTGATTGCAGTTCTGTCCGATGATTAAATGTAGTGTTGATTAATTTTGAGCCTGAGTATGTTATTCATGTAATCTGTTGTAACTCCATAGTGATGATAATGATGTTAAAGTTAATGATCAGCTTTGAAATTACACTTGAAAGATGGTTCATTTAATTGTAACTTTTCATCTTTTTGTTCCTTGTGTAGTAATTTAAACGTGACAAATTAAATTTTCCTAGATTGTTAATTGTAATCAAGATTAATTTCAACATTGATTAGTGAAATGTCTTTTAATACTCTTCATGGTTAACCTTATGGAACCGATTAACAGTTTATTATTTAATCAATATCGCACACATGTTAATAGTAAACACGACAATCACGTAGTTTTGGTGACTAAATTTGTAAATTTCATCAGCTTTTTGTTTATTATTGAATCTCTCTTTTGGACAACAATTAAGCTAATCTTTAACTGACCATTGATGTACAATTAGTAGTTACATATAAAAGGTACAACAGTAACAATTATCCCTATTACCATGTAAATTGACGCTTTGTAACTCATCAGGTAAAATCTAATTAAAAGTGAATACGATTCATGAATAAATAATTATACAAATGAGATAAATTTAATTGATTTTTAACATCTAAATTGAATTATTCATCCAATTGTTTACAATTTACAAGGATTCATCTAAATTTCAATTTACCCGCTTCATTAGCTTTCACACTTGTTACCCTTCTGAAGAGGTTTGACTTGGCTTCACCATATGTACGATTGATCTTATGTATTGTTATGTAAATTATTGTTAATTTTTAATTTGTTCATTTCATTAGTCCGGAGATTCAATCCAATTTTATCTAAGGTTTAATCAATTATCAGTTGGTATCTATATTCAGTTTAGACAGATTTTTCATTGTGATCAAATGAAAATACAAACCATTCTGACCTTGCCTACTCTTCAAATTGACTGTTTAACAGTTTCCCTCCTATTGTTTTACGTGTAATCATGCAAACAATTTACGTGTTTAAAGGTGATTTACTGGTTGATGGTTATTCTTTGATGGTGAATTTACCTTTTATATGGTGTCAATAACCAAGTATCTATTATCTATGTCGATGGGCGTTTAAATTTTGAACGCTTCTAACACTCACTTAACTTATAACCCACACATCATAAATGGATGGATGATACACACACTCCATCTCACTCCAACTCTCTGGAATCTTACTTCTTGTTCAACTCACGTATCACAATTAACTAATAATCTATCATAATGATGGTCACACCAAACCAACTCAAGCCCAGTCACACTTACAGAGGCAAATGACTTTATTATTACTGTAAACCCTCTCGAATTGTCGCCTTCCCTAATTTTCACAGACTCTTGGCAACCGAGTGAACAATTTCTAGCAATTCCTTTTCCAGTTAGACAAATTTTGATAGGACGCTAGATATCGTTTAACTCAGTGTGATACCAAATTATCAAGTTAAATATCAAAATTAAATTTAAAATTTAACCAAATTTGTAAAAGGGCTATTTTACCTCAAAATTATAGCAAAATAGCCAAGATGCTAATCCCACGGCATGACAATTTGAGAGGGTTTATTGTGGCTCATTGAAAAGTTTACTCAGCTATATGTATCCGTGCACTATATGGTCACCATTACATTTGATTGTTGACGCCTTGGATGTTATTCATTATCGCTAACATCATTATCATCATTAGCTGAAATCTAATATCAAGTCTGTAACTGTAGTTGAATGAGCAAGAAAACCATTAAGCGGATCACGAAAATTTTTTGACTTACATGAACACGAGATTATATGGTTAACCTTTCGTTCCTGTTTGTTTATTAAGGCCTTTTCTCATTATATAACTTCAGCATTCAATATCAAACAAGACAAAGTGGGTAAAGAGTTACTTACAATTAACTTTAATTTTGTTTTTTTCAATATTAAATATCTCTCTCTCTCTCTGCTTTTTATCTATTTACAGATTTTATCGATGGGTGGATGAATTACTTTTATCATGTCATTATTAATTTTCATGTACTATAGATTACTAATGAAAAATGTTGAACGGAGAGGCGTTAATACGTGTATCCTGACAATGACTATAATGGTTACTACTATTATTAATAATATCAATAATATCAATGAAAGCAGGTGAAAAAACAAGAAAATGGATTTTTTAAACATTTTTAACCATCTTTATCTTCTGGACCATTAAGGTAAGTTTACCATTTACATTTTTCCAATGTTTATATGCTAAATGACACTTAACTATTGTCAAGTTTAGATTCAATTTGAATCAACATCAAACTAAATCACTTTTGCAGGGTTTACATGCTTCTATCAATAATCAACTCCCTAGCTTTATGTGATATTTTATTTATTACGATTCTACCATTGATTTAGTTAATGATTTTGGTCTATTTACAGTATATTCATCTCATTTTCCTACCAAGTAATACAACATAATATTTGCAGAATATCAATCAATCAAAGTTTACTATTTGATCTAACTATTAATCTCAAACTTTAATCATTTTTCCACCATTTACAGATTCGCGATTTCAATCCATGAAATGGTTCAACATCGTAATCAATAGAGGAACAGAGGATTATGACCGAAAATTGTTGATTTGCCATCTAATTATAATGATCTAGTCTTGAAACAAACCCTAATTAACTTTGGTTCAACATTTCAAATGAGTGGTTGGATAAGTTCATCTATAAGCAAATGGATCCGTTTGTCAAATGAAGGAAAGAAAATTTTAATCAAATTATTTACAATTTATAATTACTTCCATTTCAAATATGAGATCAACTGAGTTATTGATGAATGTGTTTCATTTATTTTACATTACATAGATGATTCATAAAGACAGTTATGTGTGCTGGAAAGAAGTACAATTTACTAATTGACATGTTTAATGATATGATTTAATGATTTCTATTTTAATTTGGCTAATTGTTTGTTTTGTTTTTTCTAGATCATGAGATCAAAAGGGTTATATTTTTGGTAAGAACGCAACTGAAATAACATGCTGATGGATCTTGATATGTACTTTTGTTCTTGGTGGATAAAGGGAAATGTTTCAGTAAAATGACTAACTGGAATAGTAATTAAGTTGATTAAGTTTAAGTAAACTAACGAATTGAAGTCTTTTATGCATCTCATCCCGAGTTAATTGTTCAGCTGATCTTCCTTGATCATCACCGATTAACGAGTATCCACTGGCTGGATTACATTTATAAGGTCCATTGAGAACAAGATTTTGCATCAATTCCAGTTCCTTTTCCAATCTTTGCCGGGATTCACTTCCATTCAACATCAACCGATTCAAATCATCTCCTGTAATCAATAATTAGACAAACAAATGGTTAGTATCTTAATATTTAATGACTAAACATTGACCCATTAATATTGATTGGTTATGAGTTGTAAGACGATTGATTGAATTTGCCTGTCAAGTTGATAACCAACTAAGTTAACAAGCAATAGCAAACTGCTAACCACTCATGATTATACATGTCTCATTCAATATGAATATAATTTGATTGATAAATCAACGTTATCTTTCCATCACGCTAACCTTTACAATATTGATGGTCAATTGTCGATGCAGCTATCACAATTAACAAACGATTTTCAACCAAAAACTATGGTTAATGATTAAAAAAGCTTGTCCATAGTCAACACGCAACTTTCTAGTTAACTAACAATCTTAATCCACTATTCAATCTGTATCAATAAATTCTAATATTTTTTTGTTTCTTTTTAGATTTCAATCGATTGACAACTGCTAAGGACTTGATTACAATACAAATTGCTGGCATTACCTTTTGAAATTGATCCCATGTTTGATAAATCCAGGGCTAAATTGGATGGAACCATTAAACCAGTTGATTGTTTTGTTGGTCGTTCATTAGCTTCACTTTTCTGGAAAAAAACAATGAAAATGGAAACATTCAGGTTAATGGAAAAAGATGGAAAAGAAAAAGGACGAAGAAGAAAAAAAATTAACTCATGTCAACATTTAATTAACTGTTATTGGAATGTAAGTTGTATACAATCAACTAAATTAACAATGATTAGCCAATTGTGTAATTTTGAGTTAACCCTATAACAGTGAACATGGTGTATGATGAACATTGAGCATGTTCAACATACAATGAATTCAATTAAAATTAGTTTCTCTCAAATAAAATGTTGAAGAAAAGGTTGATAATAATAATAATGTACTTGATAACCTGAAGTAATATGAAAAAAATATCCTCCAAAGGCTTACTCTTTCATTGTATTACATTTATCTTTCTCATCTGATTTCATTTAATATGTACATTCATCAATATAAGGTAAAAACAACATGGGAATAGTTAGAGGATGAAAATGTTGTACATGTTCCCTTTGATGAAGTATTATTTTCTTGAAAGACATTTTCCTTTGAAACTTCTGTATCTTCCATCTTAAGGATGAAGAACCAGAATAAATGAAAATGTTGAAAAAAAGATGATGATAATGATGAAGGAGTTTGGATGATAAAGAAAGTAAAGTAAGACTAATTTTATTGTAACATCTTTTCAATCATGTTGTGTTTACCTAAAGGTTTGCAATTTCCCATTCAAAATATACAGTCAACCATCAAAACAAACCTTGAAAATGTTTTCTTAAACAATCAACTTAATTCTTTCTCTATTACTTTCATCAGTAACATTATCATTATGATTACAATTGTGAGAAGTAAATCTCACAACAATACTATTGATTGTTTAACATTTAAACAGTTTAATTTAAAATTTCCTTCCATTTTACACTTTTCTTGATTGAGATTGAATGAATTTTAATTTTCTTTTCTTTTCTTCCTCATTTTTAGATGTAATTTCTTGGTCTATTCAATTGGATTCAACACAGATTGATTGATTGTTACAATGAAATTGTTACAAAAGTAGCAAAAGGTTTTAATTAACTTAATTGACTCTCCGTTTCCCGATATTGATCAAGTTTTGTGTTGAGTTATTTAGTGATAATCTTCAGTGTTATTTATCTGTACGCTTTACAATTTAATTGTCTTAAGTAACTCTTTGAGCTTAATTAGATTTTTAAATGACACTTTAAAGTTCAATATACTGAATCTTATTGATTGTTTCAGTTGGCAATCCAAGAAGGAAGAAGTATTTTGTCTTTAAATATTGAATAGCTTCAATTTCAATGATTTTCATGCATCTTTTTTGCCTGAACAAACCATTTGTTTTAATGTTGATTAAACTGACAATGATGAATGAAATTGACTGTTTGAATTACCATTAAAACAAATAAAGTTTGAATAAGATTAAAATGAGATTCTGGGACAATGGAAAGACAAAGGGAAATTGATTGATGTTGAACAAAAGTAGCTAATGGTTGATCAATGGTTAGCATTGACTTTTATTTCCCATGAAAATTGTCACTTAACCATGTTTCCAGTTGAGTTTAGTCAAAAACAAGAGAAATGCAAGTTGAAAGTTTGCACAAAAAACACTGAACACAACCTGATCATTGGCTACAATCAAAGTTAATTGTAGGCAAACAAAGCAAACAACCATGTAAAACAAAAAGCAGGATAATTTATTATCTATTCAATGTGATTTATGGTAATAGAAAGTCAACTTTTTGTCTCCTTTGCATCTTATAATCAAATCTTTCCCAGTTAGACTTACTTGTATTTTTGACCTTTGAAAAAAGACTCGAAAAGCTGTTTACAATTAAGTCATGAAGAAAACTAATTAAGGTAAAATACTCATCAAGAATTAAAGTCTAAATGAATAGGTGAGGGTAAATTCAGAGTCAAAGAGGAGTTAAAATATGCCTTTTTTTTATCAATTCCCAGATGAAATTATCAACTGAAAATAAAAGATTGGGATTTGTTGAGTTGGAACGAGTAAATTGTTTCAAAGACAAACCCTTAATCAATCCATAATTGTCATGTAAAAGGTTAGGTGAAAAATGTTACAAAATACATTTTTTTTGTTCGAAGTTTTGAATTCATCTTCAATTCTTGATTTCATGTCTAACATTTTGTTGATAATTTGATTGTCAAAAATGGATCGATCTAAATAAAAAGCTTTTTAACCTTTTTGTTCGTATGTTGAAGACTCGATTCAAGACATGATAAACTGGACTTTACCTGAATTTTCCCCTGAGAATCTCAACTTTAGATTGATGGCAATTGATAGTGAAGATAATCAAATGACACTAACTTTTCATTTCTGTTTATCCATTTCAACTTTGTTGTTTAAACCAAGCGTAACATTGATTTTGATTTGGTTTCAGCTTTTTTAGCTGTTATATTGAAACTTTCCTTGACTGCTTCAGTATAGCTATTTGTTGTGTCAAGTATCTATTTAACTGGAAATGACAATTGACAAATGTTGACAATTTGAGGTTAAAGGTTAAATCAAATACTGTCAAACGAGTTACAAATTTGTTTGCATTGAACCTTTTACTATTTGAACAGGTCAATTTATTATCCTGCTATTTTTATCTACTTTTTTTATAATAACATGTCAAATCAAAATTGCAAGTAAATTGACCAGAAAATTAATCAATTAGCTTTTTCATTTACACTTTCAAATCATTGTGTTGTACTGTTCCGATATTTTCAAGGAACAAGAACAATGAGAACAACAATTTCCATGAAACATGTGTAATCAATACAATTTTAACTAACATCAATTTAATTTTTGATGGGTTCAATTTGAAGTTAAATCAATATCAAGTGTGATATAAGATATTAGCTAAACGGTTTACTCACATCAAAATCATTACTAATTTCCTTTTTTGTATTTTTGTCTAACATTTCTTGTCTCCAGGTCAGCTTAACTGATGGCTCTTTTTTAATAACTTCATCAATATTAGTCTTCTTGTAGCGATTGGTTTGAGTATTTTTCAGACAGGATTCGTCTTCATCTTCTACTTCTTCTTCACCTTCATCCACATCATCACCTTCATCATTACCAATGACATCAATCACATCAGCTTCAGTATCACTTGGACTAGGAGATATACGAGTAGAAGGTTCATTTACATCATCTACATCATTAACTGGTGAATTTGCTGGTGAATCGATTGGAATTGGAGATAGTTGATCGTCCTTTAAGCGAGGTGTTAATTCACCGTGCATGGAAGAGGAAGATAGTAAAATTTGATTGACACTATTGTTATGTTTAGAGGATGACAACGATGAAGCCGATTTATTTGTTATATTGATTGGTTTAAAAGCAGATATGTGACTTAGCGAACCTTGTCCATTGGTAAAGGGAGAGGATTCCATAAGTGAACGACTCTGTGAAACTGCCGCTGCCGCAGCTGATGATAATAGGAATGATGAACTAGCGGCTGCTTCAATTGGCATTAACCAATGATGGGGATGATGAGGACTAGCATCGGATAGTGAAGCATGAGGTGAATGAATGTTATGATTGGAAATTGATGACGATTTCGACGAGGATGTGGCAGAAGCGGCAGCGGCAGCAGCAACTGCAGTTGCATCCATAACTGGATATAATAAATCATTGGGAAGACGATTTGATGCACCAGAACCAGATGAGGCTGCCGCAGCGGCAGCAGCAGCAGCGGCTACAGCCGCTGTAGCTGGTGAACGAGGCCAAAAAACACATCCATAGGGAATACTCCAGGACGAAGAAGAAGCTGGAGATGTTGAGGAGTTTGATGATCCCTTAAGACCACCGCCTGAGCTCCATGTCATTAAATCGGCAAAGCTTGATCTAAAGTCCACTGGAGAGAGGTGAGCAGATGTACCATTATAATTTTTACCTCCTGGTGTGGAACAAAGCGACGAAATTGGAAGTGGTTGCGGTGGTGGATGTGAACCTAAATGTGAATTGGTGTTATCTCTTGAACTATCCGTTTGTAAACATTGTCTTGACGATGTTGATGTTGACGATGAAGATAATGAAGATGATACTGGGGCATTTGGACCATTCATGGTGGGAACTGGAAGTGCGTACGATGGTTTGACTGGAAGTGAAGATAGAGGTAAACAATTTGACCCGGTAGCTGCAGAATTCAATCCTTTGATTAAACTTGGATCAAGTAGGGAGTTTGGATGAACATGGTGGGATAAGTGAGGGTGAACATGTCGATGGTGGTGGTGAAGGTGTTGAGATGATGATGTAGGTGGTGGTAGAGAGTGAAGATGATGTGGATGAAGATTTGAAGGGTGATGAGGAGGAGTTGGTGTTGATTCGATTGAATTGATTGGACTTTCAAGCCGTTGTTTTTTGTCATAATGTTGATGTTGGTTTGAAGAGGATGAGGACGATGAAGAGGATTGATGATGTTGACTAGTAGGATTATTACCTGATGAGGAGGGCGACGAAGATGAAGATATACGGTTAAGAGAAGAGGAAACATTTGATGAAGAAGATGATGAAGGTGATGAAGATGATAAACTTCCAATATTTGATGAAATTGAAGATGATGAATGATGATGACTTGAACCACTTGCACTCGCACCACCACCACTACTTAATCCACAAGACATCGCTCTCTTCCTACTTCCACCATTGAACATTGCTTTAACATCTTCCCAAACCAAACAAACATCTTCCGAAGGATTTCCCGCTAATTTAATGTGACGTCGCCAAGAGTTGAAATTTGCCGCATCGGGCTGAACATATTTCGATGAAGGTAATTGATGAGAGTGGAAGATGAATTTGTTTGGTGAAAAGAAGAGTCCACAATAGGTACATTTTATGCATTTTGCTCTATTATGTCGGAACAAAAGTTGAAAGAAAAGGTGTTAACATCAAAGATATTTAAAGGCAATAGATTCGTTTACCTTGAACTGTTGTACCGAGATGGCATGAAACTACCTTTACAGCCCCAAGAACAATGGTGATAAATATCGAATGCAAAATTTTCCGGCAATTTAGGAGGTTGAGTTTCAGCTAGAAATGATTTACAAAGTCGCTCAGCTTCACGTTTAGTTATCATACCACAGCGTCGAGATGAGACCGGCATGGCTCCAGCTCTACGTAACAACTCCAACTGGACTGGTGTACATTGGATACAAGTGATGCCAAGTGCGACTCTCCTGTGCAAATAACCAAGATTGAATCAAACAAAAAGCAGGAACAAAAAGTTGTTTACAAATTTTAACGGACAATAGCAACAATTGTAATAAAGGTGCGTACTTACCTATTGTGAATCTCATTGTAACTGAAATTTTTCAATAATGTATTAGATATTTGGGCTAAACAAAGGCGTTCAACTCCGTCCATAATTAATGCAATAATAGGCACACCATAAAGCATTACAGTTCGTACTTCACTGTTTCTGATGGTCGATGAAACCGTATAATTGGTTGTTGTATCACTTTGCACAGTTTCGTTTGTTGGCATGGCTCACAACAATTATTTAACTGTTAATGGCGACAATTAAAATCAATTATGGAAACCCACAACGGGTTACTTGATATGATGTACAGATTGACACTCGAGGAAACATTAACACTCACAAATGAAATGGAAACATTGAGGAGGAGTGAAAAATGATTAGTTAAAATTGAAACCAAAAACAAGAACTAATTAAAGGAAACAAAATTATCGTTGACTTGTTATTAAATAACACAATTTACAGTATAACTTATAATATTTGTTTATAGTTAAACATTAGACTAGATTAGTTAAGATGAAAGCTATAAAAGTTTAATAATCAAGTGATAACATTGGTTTATAACAAGCAAGTCAACTGACTTAGAAAATGTTCAACTTTATTAATATGTGTTGTGTTTAGTTGACATAAAATGACTACAACAATTGATTGTTAACCATTCACAGAATCTAGTTTAGACTCAGTTAACATTGTGCTCATCCATATTATTTTGGGCTTAAACTCCTCCTAAAATGTTTACCATTGGATGAAATAAAATTTTTACCAGCCTCTTGCTATGAATATACTCAATACCCTCACTCATGGACACATAGATGTATAATAATATTAACATTATACTCTCTGTCTCGGTAAAGGGTCAAAATAGATAATTCAAAACAGATAAGGTCAAAACAGATAATGCCAACTCGGATAAGCGTCTTTGGGATAAAAAATGATGCTCTTTAATTTGCAATAATCAGCTTATGTTTAATCGATTTAAATAAAACTTTTTTTTCTCTTTCAACTCAAAATATTCATCATTCATTTTTTTCAATCAATCTGAATAGAATAGTGAATTTTTCTTTTCTTACTGAATATGAGTGACAATTTTACAATTATCAAGTCGGCTAAAGGTGCCGATCACCTAGTTTTAGATAACTATGAGCATCGTAAATACAGAAGTGTTGGCTTGACAAGTTATTGGCGCTGTGTAAATGCTAATTGTACAGGGCGATTTATCTTAACAAACAATGAAATTGTGAAAAAGTGTGACCACAATCATGAACCAGATAACATAAGGTTAATCAAATCAACCCAACGCAATAATGCAAAGAAGGTCGCTACAACTGAAAACTTTTGTCGCATCAAGGAAACTTATGACAAAGCCACCATGGAAACGATTAATTCTGGTAATCAACCCAAAGATGAAATAATTGCATCTTTACAAACTTTTAATCAACTAAGAAGAACAATTCAACGAGCTCGTTCAAAGCGTTTCCCTGACCAACCTAGAACTATTGAGGATATTGTGGTGCCTGAAATGCTTTCTTCTAGTGAAAATGGAATTTTCTTTCGTTCGAGCGCTAACAAAATGCTTATCTTCGCTACCAATGAATTTTTATCGTATTTGTGCTCAGCTGAACATGTTTACGCGGATGGAACCTTTCGAAGTGTACCAAGAATGTTTCAGTCCCTGTATTCACTACATGTAATGAAAAATGGAATCATGGTGCCCATCGTTTATGCGCTATTACCAGATTCAACCATATCAACTTATTTACAACTTTTACGCGCGATTCAAGATTTGTGCACTGAAAATGATTTGGTCTGGAACCCAGCAAAATTTACGCTTGATTTTGAAGCAGCAGCAATCAAGGCTATTCAGATTACATTCCCGAACTGTGAATTGAAATGTTGTCTGTTTCATTTTGCTCAGAGCTTATGGCGAAATGTTGGCAAACATGGGCTCATTGAACGCTACAAATCAGATTTTGATGGAGTCAAAAACGCCGTCAAGAGAATATCGGCTTTGCCATTCATCAAAGTCCAACATATCGAAGACACTTTTGACCAGATAGTTAGTCAATCCCCAGTCGATTCTAATATGCAATCTTTTCTTGACTATTTTAAACGAACTTATCTTAACGAGCAATCAAGATTCCCATTGACAATATGGAATCACTATCGGAATAGCGACCCAAGGACGAACAATCATGTCGAGGGATGGCACTCAGTATTCAATCGTGCTGTTGGACGAAACCATGCAAATATTTGGATTTTTATTGAGAATCTTATCAAACAGCAGAATTCTTATGAAGTTAGCGTTCTGATGGCTGATTATGGTGCAAGAGCAACAACGGGGTCAAGAATTTATAAAGAAATTAATCAAAGAATTATGAATGTCACTGAGAATTATGATGCTAATATCATAACAGCATTCGAATGTGTTGATAAATTGAAATATTATACTAAATTATCTGATCTGAATTGATATTTCATGAATTGGTGCGGACTAATAAAAATTTCACGATTCCTTGCGCAGAAGTTTAGTGTTCATTTTTCATATGCGCACCACTATTCGCCCTTCATTAAATTGTACCTGACAAATGATTTCCAATAAAAATATCAAGTCTAATTCCGTTCTATCGCCATATTCATTCAATATGAAAAAAGTTTTTGATATCACGCCATCTATTGGCAAAATTTTTCTTAAAGTCATGCGCACAAGTTTTTATCTGTTTTGACTTTAGCTGAACAGCTTTAGCTGAAAAGAGCTTATCCAAATTGGTTTTATCTGTTTTGACCCTGAACCCTCTGTCTCTATAAATGCTGTTAAATGCTGTTAAATGTTGTTAAATATATTCTCATCTGATTGACTTATTTGTTGCTTCATTGGATCAAATAGATTATTATTGTTATCTTTCCTCTTAACTATTCCCAATCTTATTTTAACAACACTGATATTAGCAGTTCTCATCATTATTATTACAGAGACTTGGAGGGAAATATTTTTTAAGTAAAACAAGTCAAAATTTAGAGTTTTTTTATTCAATAGATTGCTTTATTTCTTAGCTTTCTATCTTCCTTTAAATTACAATCTATTAAAAAGGTGTTGAAACGTTGCTTAATTTGAATAATCAATTAAATGGATTTTGATCTTGATGTAAGAGTTTACACTTTATATTTTGTATGGATGTGTATACAATTTAACATTTTGTTTAAACACATAAATGTCTTGGATTTCAAATGTTTAACTTTCACGCTATTTTGTTGTCATTTTAATTCAAATGAGCTATTTGTGTGATAGTCTTTTAAACACCCAAATAAAACTATAAATAAGACAGGGAATGAGGTAGACATTTACGGAAGAATCTGATGATTCTTAATCCTATTGAGCTGGTTTTCACATTTCTTACACTTTAAAGATGGTCACCAGATATTAGCGACATTAAAATTTTAAAAAAGCTAAACTACACTTTTAGAGTTGAAAGAGAGAACTGAAATTTTTCCTTATTCAATCGAGCTTCATATTTTTAGTTGTGGGATTGAACATAAATTAAATCAGTTAAATCCAAATGAGGGATATAATTTTAATTTTTAATAATATCAACAAAGGAAGGAATTTTCAATCGCAAAAGTGTAACTTGTCTAATTACTCACTAATTATTAATGATTCTTACTGGGTTCTTAACAAAAAAATCACAGGTTCAACTATTTGCTTTAATTATTAATAGTATCCAATTTAGATGCTGTTTATGTTTAATATATCACAAAAAATAGCAAAAAATTGTTTGATGTCAATTTACACAATTTAAAAATAAAAAAGTCCAAAAACAACATTCATCCATGTAGGGCCATCTGTGGCCATCTATTGAAACTAAATTCTAGCTCGAATTCGATTAAATGATAATTTGAACAAATTACTACTTTATTAAACTGTTTATGATGAATTACTTGAATCTTAATAGATGATGTCAGCATTAGAAGAAGCATTCCTATTGATAATCACTTCAAATCAAGCAACTAATCAATTTTAACATTCGAAAAATAATAAGAGCTTTTCACTTAATCAAGTTTAGATTCATTTATCTTCACTATAATTTCAGAGAAAGCTGATTATTGGATGGAAAATCGGTCAAGCAATTTTTAAGTAAAGCTGTCATCAAATATTTGATAAAGTTAGCTATATTAATTGAGTTATTAACGAGTTTTTGATCTGAAAATGAAAATTCAAAAAGCGTGAAATCTCGATAAGTAAGCTGCGGCTGCGTGTGTTAAGAAATAGCGCCCAATGGCAATGCGCAGCCATTAGAGTTTAGATTCCTGACTTTTACTCAACAGATTTTATGATTATCACACTGTTTTACATTTTATTTTTCTAACTAACCATCATTTGTACCATCTTTTCTTTTTTTCTTCTAATTAACCTTCCCCTTATTTCCTATTTTTCATTCTGACCAGCAAAGGTTAACACCATTAACTGTTCAATCTAGTTCAATTATGGAAACTCCAAAGGATAACAAATCTAATGTTGAGGGCGGCGGTGATGCCAATTCGGAATACATCAAGCTTAAAGTAGTCGGCCAAGATTCAAATGAAATTCACTTTAGAGTCAAAATGACCACCCAAATGGGTAAATTAAAAAGGTCATATAGTGAACGAGTGGTAAGTTTAACCTTTTCAAAAATTATCTTTTGTCATTCCTTTGTTTAGTTTGAAAAGCACACATTTTTTTCTTAACTCTATCTTATTTTGTCTGTTTTTTTCTCTACTCTTTTCCTCAATTCCAGGGTGTACCAGTTACTTCATTGAGGTTCCTATTTGATGGTCGACGAATCAATGACAGTGATACTCCTAAGCAGTTGGAAATGGAAAATGATGATGTAATCGAAGTCTATCAGGAACAATCCGGCGGCCAATTGGTGTTCTAGAGTTTAATTCATGTCGTTTATCATCTTGTCTCTTTCAAACTCAACCAAACAAAATACCAGCACCACGAATAAAACAACGTCGTTTTTCATCTACTATTCCTCTTAATTTCAACTCAACATTACAAGCATACACTTCAAAGATTGGATCTTCAGGCTTCATACAGCAAATAAACATTTATTAATAAATGATTATTGTAATTATTTACTCATTTAACAAGCATTGATACTCATTTATATGGACATCGCTCTCTTTAAATATTAGCTATATCTTAGAGTTTAGTTTAAACTCTGGTTCCTTAATCCCAACGGAAGAAATATAAGGTCAATAAGTGAAAGAATTTTGGAGAAAAAATATTAAGATGTGTTGAAATGAAGCAATGTTCAGAAGCAGCAGAAGCGAAGAGATTGAAAGTGTTCCCTTGGCAACAAGTATTCAAACCTTATTTCAAGCTTTTCTTAACCTTTCGGCTTTTCATTTGTTTAAGATAATTTTTAATTAATATTTGTCCGCCTAATTTTATTTCTCAAGTTTATGAACTTACCTCGAGCATTATGAAGTCAACTGAATTATTCTTGAGTATGGTGTCGTCAAATTAAATTGAACAATTTGTTGTTTCACAAGGGACAATCTTTAACCGGTTTGGGTTCCACTGGCTTTTTTTACCTCATGCTTGTTTTTTAATTATTTTTTGTTGTGAGTATTATTCATCTCTTGCTTACACTTTGTTTAATGTGCTCTACTCGTCTTGGAGACCAATGGTAATCAGTTTTCATCATGTCAACCACAAGTTTGTCATTGACTAATACTAAAACTAGCATTAGGGCCTCCAATCTCGGTGATTATGTTAAGAACCTGAATCCACCTACTATTGATAAACTTTATTCCAAAAGCTCATCATGTTGCTTGGCGATTTTTGGACAGCTACCCCCTTTAGCTAAACAGTATGTCATCAGATTGTTGTTTGTTGATCAAGGTATTCCAAAGGATGTCATCTCGTCATGGGTCAGCCAAAGTTCAATGCAGTAAGTAAAACATCTTTTTATCTATGGAATATATTTCTTCAGAGGGTTAATATCTCATTCTTTTTCCTTTAATTACAGAGAGCATCTTGAGTCAGTAAAATTACTCTCTGATTTGAGAATTTGGTCAGAATCTCCAATTCACGGTGGCTTACCCGGCTTTAAATTAAATAATACTTTCAAGAATAACCTTCAAGTGGCACTTTTAGGAGGGTAAGTAAACCGGCTAAACTTAACTTTTCCTATAATAATCACTTTATCCTCTAATCTTTTCAGTGGTGATCCTTGGGTTATTAAACCATGCGATGATAAAGATAAACATGGAAGAGATGTAGCTTTTCTTGATCAATACGCCATGGAAAGATGGGAATGTATTTTACATTTTATGGTTGGATCTCAGGGGAATAATGAAAGCATCTCCAATGACACTGTGAAAACTCTTGTACATGCTGGTTTGATCAAATATGATTCGCCAGCTCAAGATAAACTTCCAGCCATCACTGCCGATGGATTTCAGTTTTTGTTAATGGATACTAAATCTCAAGTTTGGTACTTTTTGCTACAATATTTAGACACGGTAGAAAGTAAAGGCTTAGACTTAGTTGAATGTTTAACATTCCTTTTTCAAATCAGTTTTTTAACTCTCGGGAAGGTAATTTTCGATTTTTGAACCTCTTTGTTTTTTGCCTTCATGGCTAATTTGATTACTGATTACTTTGTTATTCTTTCTCTTCATATTGCAGGACTATTCAACGATATGTCTTAGTGAATCTATGTCTAACTTTCTTCAACATCTCAGAGAGTTTGGGTTAATATATCAAAGAAAGGTAAAATATTTTCTTCTGGATTGTTTCCAAATTACAATGTACTTACTTATTCTTTATCAATTTTATTTATTTAGCGTAAAGATGGACGCTTTTATCCAACCAAGCTAGTCATCAATCTAACAAGCGCATCTAATTCACGAACTGATTCTCGCCGTGAAGGCTTTATCATCGTTGAAACCAATTATCGAGTCTTTGCATACACAAGTGAGTTGTTTTATCCACACCATTCACTCTATTATTTTCCACATCACATTAGTTATCGTGTTAGAATTAATGATTCATTAATAATGACTCTTATTTTAATAACTTATTTTCACTTTATTATAGATTCATCTCTGCAGATGGCATTGGTAGCTTTATTCACTGAAATGCAATATCGATTACCCAATGTTGGACTTGGTTTGCTAAATCGTGACAGTGTCCGACAGGCTCTCAAAAACGGTATAACGGCTGAGCAAATAATAAACTTTCTCAGAGCTCATGCTCACCCTAAGATGAAAAAAATACCTCCAACCGTTGTCGATCAGATAAGACTTTGGGAAATTGAGCGTGATAGATTTATTTTCAAAGAAGGATTTCTTTACAGTCAATTTTTGTCTCAAGGAGATTTCTCGCTTCTTAGGAATTATGCAAATGTACGAATTAATTCATACCTAATAACTCTGAATGATTGTATCAATTTAACTTATATTTCTTACTCCCTTTCAGGATGCTGGTAACTTAATTTGGGACAATCCAAGTAAAAGAGTGATGGTAGTTTCCGTGGCGGGACACGAAGATGTTAGACGGTTTTGGAAAAGGCACAAAAAAGATCATTAAATTACTATTTATACTTATATGCTCATTTTAGCCCGTTTATTTTATATCCAATTCAATCACAATATACGATGAATATCTTCATCAAAAAAAGTTCTTTCAAAGCGCTCATCCTCAATTTTGTTATAAATTTTCTGCCATTCAAATCTTGACTCATTTGGTAAAAACTCCATCATTCCAAGTGCCTTGTAAATGTCTAATTTCAAATTGATCAAATATTAACTGTCATTCAAATTTGTCTTTGAATGTGCTTGATCAAACCTCAGACAAACAACTTATCAATGATTCATGATTATGTATTTGTTTTCTCGAATGTAAATAAAAACCAATATTTGAGTCGCATTTCAATTCAAGTGTATTTATCAATCCTTATTTCTTTGCTTTCATGTCGATAGTTTAAACTGATTTGCTAAGTCTTTCATCGGGCAGCATCAATATTTATATTGGATTCAGAGATAGTGATTTTAATTTTAATTACTTATTAATTAACAATAATAAACAATCAATATAATAACATCATAAATTCATAACAATTTTGTCTGAACATCACATTTTAACAGCTTAATCTCACAATTAGTAAGGCTACTTTACTTTAACATAAAGGCAACAAAAATTTGGACACTAATTGAACACTTATTTGTTTAACACTTCGATGTTTGAACTTTGAGTTTTCAATGATAGAGTTAAGAGGACAACGAAATCTATCACGATAAATTAAACTGATTAATAGGGAGAAAAGTTTGGAGTGTGAATGTTGTAAACTCGATTCCAATCAACTTTAGGGACACTCTTGCGGAACAATCGAGGAAGATCTTCATTCTTCTTCAATCCCAATTTAGCAGCTATACGCAATCCTCCTGGATTGCAATCAGGTGTCATGAAATCAAGGCCAGCGGTCAAAGAGATCGGAAAGTTGACGAGAAGATTATAAACAAGTAACTCGGCAACGCCATCATTATTGGCATAAATAGGTCCTGCCATGGCTCTATTAATGTTGTTGGTCCTTATGCATCCATATCCGACTATGGAGTTATTGTCTTTGTCAATAGCAACCAATGCAAGAGTATCCAGCTCTGCAAATGTCAGTTTGAGTAAACTTGATCGATCAAAATAAACCACAGATGAATCATAATTGAACACTTTCTGTTGTAAAATATCATCATCGACAATCTTTTTTATCTCAATGTTCGATATTTTGCTGACCAAATCTTCTGTCTTCAATTGAGATCCTTCGTATTCCAAAATTTTGATCTTGTCTTCAACACGGAAACCCGCTCTATTGGACAGAAAGAGCAAAACAAGTTTATTAAATAAACATCTACTCAACCGAATCTTTTAAAGCCAATGAATAAATCGAATTGAAATCCTTTATAATCAGAAAAACCTATTGAGAGTGTTACAAAGATCATATTCAGCCTCAAAAACCAGCTTTCTAACAACAAAACAACACTTTTGCTATTAAAAGACACAAACAACACAATTGTAACATTTTTGCACAAATTGACACAACTGCTAAGGAAAAATGGGCGCAAATGGACAAAAATTGATTTCTTTCAAGTTTAAACTCTGTCATTTTGTGGAGCTATGAAAACTGTATCCATTTGTGTGACTTAAAAGTTTCACTGACCCACAGTTTTTGAGGAAATTGCGGTCAAAGTTGAAACTTCGATCGCCTTTTGTACAGTTGTGTGATTAGATATTTTCATGAAACTTATTTTGCTAATGTAACTTTTAACGATACACAAGAAGACGAACTTATTTTGTGACATAAATTTTGTCGTTTCCTTTTAAAGCAATAGATTCGATTTTTAGTTAAACCGAACGAACGGAGTGACCATGAGATTTAGAGATCTGAAACTTAATACTGGTCCATAAAATTTGACTGCAAATCTCATGGATAGAATAATTTTCTCAATATATCAATAGTTCGCTTGATTTTGGCCATTGGCCTCAAAACTTTGAACCTCGATATTTCGAGAAGGGTAGTACCTAAAATCATTATTTTTCGATCAAACATTAGATTGTATCATGGAAATTATTAGCACGAAATATTAAATCATTAAAGATCATACGGAAAAAGTTATAGCATTTTATCACTTATGGTTCAGACTTGATTCTTGGTTGATTGAGTTAAATGGTTACTCAAACACAAATCGTGTTTGTTGGAGATATATTCATTATTAAATTAAATAAGTCATATGCCATTATAGCCCATAATTCAATCTAATGGGGACCTGTTGATTACTATAATGC